GAAGGAGGGAGGAAGGGGGTGGGGGGGCAGATCAAGGCCCTTGTGGTAAGGGAGGGAGTGGGGCTGGTGCAAGTGTTGCCCAGCTGGGGCAGAGTGGGAGAGGGATGGAACTGCAACTCATCCAGGGGGTGTTGGGAAGGGGAGGAGTGCAGCTCCTGCCGCTGTGCGCCATTCATCCAGGAGCTGCTCATCTGGCACTTGCCTATTTATCCGGCAGCTCCCACTGCTTGTCCAGGAGGGCATGGGAGTGGTGTGTGCCCCTGGATCTGCATGGGGTAGGCGGGGCTAAGGCTGCACTCAGGGTGAGCTGCAACCACTCCAAAAGTTGTCGTAGCCTCCTTACAGGCCCAGCTCCCAGTGTTGCTGCCTGCCCCAAGCACAGCCCTGGCCCCACCATCCCCACAGAGATCTGGAAGCACATGCCCCCCTTCCCCCTCAGTGCTCTCTCAGACAAGCAGTGGGAGCAGCAGTGGGAACCACCAGATGAGCGGCTCCCAGACAAGCAGCATGCAGCAGGGGGAGCTGCCCCTCCTGCCCTGGCTGGGCAGTGCTTGCTGCAGCCTGTCCAAGCCCCATTCCCTCCCTCACTGCAGGGGTCTTGATCTGCCCTCCTTATGCCCCATCCCTTCCTCCCTCCCCTTCCACTACAACAGACTTACCAGCTCGACACCACTCCTCAAGCTGCAGGGCTGGTATCAGAAATCGTATCAGGATCAGCTGATATGCCTCCTTAAAAACTGGCTATCAGTATCAGCCCCAAAAATTTCTACTGATGCACCCCTAGAAGTCAATTCTACTAGACCTGCTATTGGCAAACTGTGAATAGTATGTTATTGAAAGTATGCAAGTTACACACATTATTTTTTACCATTACCTTTTGAGTTTTTATACTCACCTAAACCTTTTTGTCCAGGGTTTTTAGCAAAGTTAAAAGTAAACTGATAAAAATCTTTGAACTTTATTGGATCCTTTAGCTCTTGTTCCAGTCTTGGCAATAGAGCTTTTAGTTTTTCTGTGGTGTCACACCTGTTGCAGAAAAGATTATGTTTGTCTATAAATATGCATACTTGTTAAACAAACGGTCTAATTTTAAAGACATAAAAATATGATAACATGCAACTGCAAAGCATCACTTTCATTTATATTCTATAAGCCATGAAGTATATCCTTCACCAAATGTTTAACCAGAAACAAGGGGTAATGTTATATCCAAGCACCTAAAGTACATATAAAATATTTTATAAATGTTTATTTGGTCTTTTTCAGGTTCTTCATTAATCCACGATCTCAACTAATGTAAATTTCACATGCTTAAAGAGCACTGCCAGAGTGCAGAAAAAATGAAATATAACTAGTTATAAGTATTATTAACTGTAATGTACGGTTTCAGTTATTATAATAAATTAATTTGATTTTTTTAATTCAATTTACCTGAGCATCCATCACAAGAATTACGACTACTACACATTAAACTTATGCCTAAAAGTTAATATTATATGAGTTCTCAGTCACTGAATTGTACTGTCACAAATGTAAGGCACACTTCAAACTAAAACCTAGAAAAAGAGCTCTTCACTGTGCCTAAAAGATACTTATGCCTCAACTGATACAGTATCATACTGGAAAGATAAGGGCTTTTCAGGTTCACATGACTCAAACTAATACCAAAATTTATAGGATATTGGCAGTATTCTGAATTACACCTAGAAACTAATATGGAACAATATAGTAATTACTTGAAAATTATAATATCTATTGTGACTAAATCTTCTCGGCTGCCAAACAGCTTATGTAAATATTTTTACTAGCTGACACTTCTAGAATAACTTTATTAGGGGGCACATTGCTGTTATCCATTCAAAAGGACAAAGGTTTGATAATAACAAATTCACTAATGTTGATAAAGACAAATACATTTTTGGCTTCCAAAACCACCTGATTAGGAGCTATCATGATATCAACATGCCACCTTTATACTGAGAGCCTCTTGTCTGAGGAACAGGTCAACTCCCTAAATAATGTGGATACCTACTGTGCCTTCTAGATATTCTCCACTTGACAGCATTAGACCTCAAAACCAAATTACTTTAATCTAAAATCCCAATTAATGCCCCATACAAGCAAATACATGACACTACCTGGGTTTTAAAAGGAAAAGTTTCAAACTAGCAAACCAGTGGCATTAAGTCCAAACCACCCAACTATCCTCCAAGGAGCTTTGTAGGTGCTTCAAGCACAGGAAGTAACAACAGAATTGTTCAAAACACTGACTGAATTCCGTCAGGAAAGATAGCAATACTATGATGAAATGTTAAAAATATCCTAAAGACAAATGTCCAGAAGTGGCTCAATAAATCTTACAATAAAGGGTATCAAATGTTGCTGGCAGACTTAAAAAAAATTAAAATAAAAATCAACATGAATGCTAGTTGGTTGCTAGATAATGAAGCAATTATTATTGTCATTATAGCCAGAAGTCAGACTGAAGGGGATAAAGTAATCAGTGGACTTCAGATGACACTAGAAGTTGTTTTATTACAATCTGTCAACATCCTTACCTAAAAAGGAAAGGTTAGAAAGAGGTCAGTACTTGGTGAGATCAGTAGCAACACACAGTTATGCCCCTACTCAAGAAACAAATCACTTGGATTAGATAGAAGTTGCCACCTATTACTAATGTCTTTCTGCAGTAAACTAATCTACAGCCAAATTAAATTTTATTAGCAACAGGAAATATATGTTCAAGTAACAGGTCAAAATTTTCCACCTACCTCTACAGTCTCTTTTAGCAAAATAATTTGTTCCTTCTGATGTGGATCAAACAAGGACAGCTACTTGATCCATCTTTTTCAAGAAATAAGTATAAATAAAACATCATTTTCAGTAAGAAATGTTTGATTCTTTTGCTAAACAGGGACAGTATGGCTTAACCTACAAGTTGATCAGCCTGAGTTCCAATAGCCATGATTTCACAGACACTGCAGATGAAGAAAGTTTTCTTTGGGTCTATTACCACAAGAAGAATTTTAAGATTATACTACAGTTAAATTGGACATCATTTCCACCACCAGGGCTCTAACTTCAACTCCAGATATCTCCCTCTTTTTCCAAAGGTTCTCTGAATAATAGTGGTCAGCAGAGAGAACGATTATTTATGGTACTATTAGTGAATAAAATTAGACTTAATGACAGTTAAGCCCAGAATTTGATTCACCCAATATGTGCAAAAACTTAAATAAGATTAAATTATGAAGGAATATCTTATCCACTTCTCTTTCTTTGCTGCCTATAATCCAAACACTCCATAAAAGCTTTGTTTCCATTCTCAACAGATAATGGTCCCAATGTCAAACAACATGCACTCTACTGAAATACCTTAATAGAATTTTGTATCATTTATACCAATAGCTCTTCTATCACATCTCCATATTTGAAAAGTTATTTGCTAAGGTCACAGCAAAGGTTTTGCATTAGCATAACAGTTTGATGAAGCAGGAATTGCTTCATCAATTGCATTTGTGAACCTGCTACAATGACAGCCACCATCACAGATATTAAACAAACTATTTACAAAGCTAAAAATATGATTCATTACAATTTGTACTTAACAGCCAGGCTCTCACATTGAGTGTTATCACAGACTTCCAACCTTTGCAAGCCAGGCAGAGACAGACACAAGCACATACAACATACCATAAGTAAACTGTGGGACAAAATTACTGCTATATACATTTTGGTGACTCGCTCTATAAATTTACTGAATACAGTTTTTAAGAAGCCTTTTCTGAGTGAATTATGTGCATCCTGACTTTTAATACCTGGCCTGAGTGTGGTTTCTAGTAGTAAAAGCTAAGAAAGCCAGAACTACCATATTTCTTTAAATCCAAGATGATTTAGAATGTAAGATGACCACCCCCTCCCAACAATTAGATTCTATACACTGAGAATTTATAAATTTGAAGATAGTTTTAATTTTGTCCACCTCACCACTGCAGTGGGGCAAGCAGTTAACAGGGGGGCAGGTAGCAAGCGAGTCAAGCAGCCTGCCCCTTCCCCCTTAACAGTGCCTGCACCCTCTGGTGCCTGGCCACAAAGTGACTCTGTCTCCAAACCAGCCCCACAGCGCTGGTCATGGCAGTGGCGGTTCCAGCCTTGGCACCATCACAGTTGGCAGCTGTTGCCACTGCTGTTGTGTAACCAGGCAGGGACCAGAGTAGCCATGTGACCCAGGCTGGACCCGCGCAAGTGCATGGGGTGGGGAGGCAAAGAGCAGAAAGGCTCTGACTCCAAATCCAGGATGGGACCTAATGTAGTAGTTGCCTGCCTCCCTGCTTGTACTCAAATGAAAGATGAGAAGCTCTCCCAGACCCATCATGTTAAACGGGGGAAAAAAATCCTGTCCTGGATTTCAATAAATATGGTAGTTCAGTCACTTTGGGGGAACAGATAAGACTGTGGTTTGTCACACTGGAGACCGAAATTCTCTGTGTAGAGCGACTTGACAAAAGTAGTCAATGACACCGAAATGTATGGAATTTATCCAGTCTCTAAAACTAGATGGGGTTTAGGGTCAGCCTAGGTCTTCTGCTTACTGTTTTCAGCCCTAGAAATGAGTGCCAAAGTTCAAGTTGCAGCTAATTTGCTATCAAACAAAAATTCAGCAAGTACACTTACTCATTTATTTTCTCTTATGAATAAAAAAAGGGATACTCTTTGGACAAATGTAAATTTACATATCATTTATATTCTAGGAGCCAATATGAGAAGGAAAAGCTGCAAAGGTCCACAAGTGTTTTAGCTAGCTTACAAAACAGGGGTATAAAAAAGATAACTAGGCCAAGGTGAGAGACAGGAAGAAAAAGAGTAAGAAATCATCTAAACAGGTGATTTACACTGAATAAAAGTCTAGATTTTTTTTTAAAATGCATCATGATTATGCTTGTCATGGTTCAAGCCCTGCTGCAGCCCAGTTCAGGCATTTGTGTAAATGAATCACAGAAAGTTGATAGGGTGGTGGTGGTATTAACATAGGAAAGTGTGGAATCCAGACAGTATAGTAGGTCAGCTGTGTGCATCTTCAGGGTGACATGGAACAAGTCCATGGAGAGTTTTAAAAGCTTTCAATAGATTTGGCTCAGCTCCTAAGAAAGTTGCACCATAAAGAAAACCGACACACTCACCCCAATTCTGTCATGCCATCTACAAATTCCTTTTTGCTGAATTCACATTGAGTAGCTGCCCTGAACTTCCAGGCTACAACCAAAACGCTGATACTGGCAGGGTCCAGGCTTAAATCATCACAGAACTGTTGAATCCCATCAATGCCAATTTTATTTTCATCCTGTGGGTCTGCAGTTCAAAATACAAAAAGAATGACAGTTCTTAAACCTTCCTATGGAATACTGACCAGAGTACTTTTGATATGCTGCACTGTAGACATTACTGTTTTTGAGTACTTCTCAAGCTCTTTATTTGGACGTTAATTCAAAATCTAATCAATTTCAAAATGTGAATTCAAACCAGATTTAAAAGTCTTCCCAAGTCTCTCTGACAATCTTGTTTTTAAAACTACTATTAAAAATATTTGCTTTTTGTTTTTTTAACTCCCCCCCCATAACCATATGAAAGAAAGAAATGAACAACAGGGAAGCTGCTTGAGAATAGGGAGAAATCAGTGAAACTGATTCTCAGCAAAGTGTTATAAAAAGTACAATAAATGAGCATGTACTAGTTAGTCAACAGCAACAGATGCATAAAAGAAACGCACTAGATGATGTCCACAGATCTTTCCCATCCTCACCCCTCCAGGGACACAAAAGAAAAGGACCTATTTTAACTGAGATCACCAAGGTTCAATTATTGTATTGCGATTCAAGGAAAAAAATTAGCCTTGCAGACAGACCAAAATCAATGCGACAGTGTTTACAGTGCTCAGCACTACAAGGCCTCAATCTAGATTAGGTTCCTCAGAACTACTGTAATTGTTCAATAATAAGCTATCTTATAGGGTAGAAACACTCTGTAATAGCCAGTGTCTGCTTATGTCATAAGCCTGAAATTTAACTTCTGTTTTAAATAAGGAAATCTAAACAAATGCAAAAATCCTCTGTGGAAAATTATATTTGATTCATAATTGATCCCAAAGAAATTAAACACTTCATATGTAAACAAGACTGCTATTTTCTTTTAGTTTGGAACCCAACAGAGTCTCTTAAAAATACGTTACACAAATCTAAAGTAATATTCTCAAAATTATACTTCTACTTTTCACAGTTATGCAAGTTACAAAATACAGAAGTTATTCCATCATTTGGGAAAATAAGTCTTAAGCATTTATTTGACTAAAATAGCCAGCCACTGTATGAAACATACAGTTAAAACAATATTTTCAATACATCACAAGGTTGACATTTTGCATAAATACTTGTTATGATTTTATCCTTCCCTAGGCGTGGGTCTTACAATCTGATCTGACTGCAAGATTGGAGCCTTCATTTTAGGGTTCCCTCTTGCTTCTCAAGCTCTTCTAAGGATACCACAATAGTAACTAAAGAATTGATACTATAAATAGCCAATAGTTAGAACACCAAGTAGAAGTAGTTGATGCAGCAAAAACATGTTATTAAAGTATTCCATCAAAATCGCTATGTGTATAAGTAATGAGTAAATCTTTCCAGGGTATTAGTTGCAAAAAATCAGGTTCCAGGATAACATCTAAATGTATTTCTTAACTTCCTAAAATTATTCCCAGATATTTAAAGAGTCGGTACTGGAGTTAATGGCCAAATTCTGACCAGTTTCAAGAAACAGGATTATTCTATCCTTAGCATAGTGCTAACTCCTGAGCAATTGAGTGAACAATAAAAATGAACAAGTGTAACTTTAGTTCAGGTGTTGAATATTAAATAAAGAGAACACTGAAACAAGAATAGCTGAGTGGACAACGAAATATCACCTCACATTTCAAATGCAATGCTAATGCAACCTACAGATTTTTGTAGGTTCTCTCTATTGTAATCCTCTGTAAATCTAGAGATAGGATTACAATGGACCCTTTATCAGGCAAAAAGTTTAGGTTATGGTTAAGATAGAAAAAAGTGTTAAACCAATTTAAAATGCACTGTCATGACTTTTCCTCTTAAATTCTGGGAAAGCGATGTTTAGATGTACACTCCTCCTTCATTACTTTCATTCTAGCACTACAGAATTGTGCTGATGCATGAAAACAAAAACCTAAAACTGACTAAATCACTTTAATTCACAGAAGTGAAGATGGAAGTAGAAAGTACACAAAAAACACAGTGAAGAAAAAAAAATTCCTTCATCTTAGACATTACTACTGACAGTTACAAATTTAAGAAGTTAAGTATATCCTTCACTTGACCACCTCCTTTCAAACTACTATACACAGATCAAGAAAAAAAATATTTAAATATAAGCAAAACCAACCAAAAGAAGTATCATAGTAATTAAACTTCTATGGGTGCACCCAAAGGAAATGTTCTAGTGCTGCCTAAGTGCCAGTGCATCTATAAACACATTACAACCATTTTTTTAAAATTAAAATTTTTAAGATGACCTGTATGTCAAATGGAATAAGCATTCATATTATCCACAAATTGAAAAGCAAAAGTATTAATAATTATATAGGCCAAGATGCATAGAAAATAATTTTGGTGAGAATCATACCATCTATTAGGATTAGAAAGGGTCCTTATTGATAAAAAATATGGCCAAAGATCCATTTTAAAAGAGTTCCACAGAAAGTTTTGGACCCAAGCAATAAACAGCAATGATTTAAAGCAGCTTCACAAAGCAAGCGTTAACAAAAAAATAATTGATCTAAGATAGTAACATTTTGAAAGGAATTCTTTCACTGGACAATGCCTTGGGCTTCTTTGGCCATATTTCTGCATTTTTCCTATTAACACTAGCATAAAAGAAAGAGTAACAGAAGATATAAACACAACTCCATCTTAAATTCACTCTCTCATGGATGTTTCCCCACCAAGAATCTCTTAACAGGTCATTTTACATGACTTGTGCTGTAATATTCAAAACCCAAAGAGTAAATTATGGATGGAGTTTCAACCTTAATCACATTTCCTTACTTAACGCATTTGTCAGAACCTTACCTATATCTGAAAATGTTTTTGTAGTATAAATAATACTACCACCATCTTTAAATTTAATTTTGAAAAAACGTTTAATACAAGAATTATAATAATAATGTTACCACATAACATATGACATACAAAAATTCCTTAACATAGTTTAAGGACAGTAGGTCATACATACTGTATAACGTCCTTTACAGATACAGAGTCTCCTCTTTTAAGTAACTGGATTTAGTTTCATTTAGCTCAGTTCTTGCATTATATTTCCCATTGTCAAGGTGTTTTTATACTTTACAAGTAAAACAGTCTGAAGTTTGGGATGAACACTGAGCCATGCAATAGTAGACAGACAGCCTTACATTGAAGCAAACCTCTCAAGGGCAGCAACACACAGAGAAAGTAACAACAGTTGGACATTATGTTAGCAACCTTTTATCTAAAAATGTTACCAGTGGCAAAAAGTAAAGGTATAAATGTAAATTAAATAAGTTATAAAACTGATCCTTACCTTTGTATCTGTTATACAATTGTTCTAATTTCTTTCTGTCTACTGAATTTTTCATGGATTCTTTGTAGTACAAGTCTGGGTTCTGGAAGTAGTTGTCTGTTGCCACTTCTAGTTTCCACTCATTCTGCATTAAGCAGTATATAGCAGTCCTTTCACCAGCCTGGGTAAATGCCATAAACTGGCGGACCTTGTCCTTCTGAGACGATTTAAGCTTATGCTTTGGGATGCAAAAGAAGCAGGAAAGCCAATGAAGCTAATCCAGAAGTTTGTTTCAGCACTCTACTATCAATGCCTATCTTAAAAGGGGCTTAGATTTCTTGGTGTGTGACATCTCCCACTTCAGAATTACAGAAAGACAAAGCCTTGTTCTTCTGCAGTTAAAGACAGCATTTTCTTCTGAAAACTGAAATGCCAGCATTTCTATGCACACTTTCAGCAGCAAATATTTTGGCAATAATAAATTCCGATCACTGTTTTACTTGCACACACAGAAACATTTTTTAAAAAGTGTCTGACCTCTATATGTTCCATTTCCTGTAAGGTTTAAAAAACTTATTTGGTTAAAAACTCTAACCTCCCCACCCCTGCAAAAAACCCAAAACCCCACTATGACTTTGACCAGTATGCTAACATGCCAAAAGTAAGTCTATGATTAATAAGTTCATGATAACAAAAATTTTCAAAAACATGACTCTTTCAAATGTGAGATTGTGTCTGTAAAGGCCTTGTAAAAAACTGAGCGTTTACTCTGAATAATCTTAAGAGTTTTCCTATTTTTTCCCAGCACTAATGAACAATACAATATTTTACAATTGACCATTTAAGACAAAGTTGCACATTTCACATCTGAATGTCAGAAACAATTAGGGACAATTGTTGCTCCCAAGTTAGTTTAAAAGAAAATACAACTCCTAAAGCAATGAAGTCAGATATTTGTCTAACTTATGAAACTAGAAAAAGTTTTTGGTTAGATGTATAAGAACTAATACCAGTATCTCTTCTATTCTCATAACGTATTAACTGCTGTGCAATAATCAAAAAAACAAGGATTTACAGAAACCAATAAATGTTTTTATTAACTGCAGTAAGCCAATGCTCTACAATGATCCAGAGCGTACTGTTGGAGAACAGGAAAGTGGAGTTAAAGATGACAAAACATGGTATGAAAGTTTTACAACTGCTCTCTGCAATACTTTTTGACTTTTTGCTCCTTTCTTCTCTTTAATATTTCTTGCTTTTGTTAACTGATAGGTTTTACAAGTTATCTTGTGGGGACATGACTAAATCTTAAATTTTAAATCAACACGCATGTATAACATTAAGCAAAGACTTTCTAATCTCACAGCATTAGAAAAAGCTATCACTTACGCAGTTTTCAATATTACACTACAGTCTGACTGTACATACATAGTTACTATTTACTGATTATCTCTTTAAACACTAATCACAGTAACCCTATCAGAAGGTTATTGCAGTTGGCCATAAAAGAGACCTGTATCACACACCCAACATGCACATGTAGCTCTTTTCTTTGAAATGTAGCTCCGACGATTGAAAAAAATGACGAAAACAAAACTGGAAACAACTTTAATTGCAATGATGGGGGAAAAAAACAAAACAAACCTATAATAGATTTTACAAAGGCATTTTGAAAGGACCTCTCCTATTCCACTTCAAAAAGTGACTTACACTTATGTCAAGACCCCCTCAGGGAAATGGAAATATCTGAGTTCCCAACTCAAATCCTTCACGGCTCACGCGAGATTCTTAATTCTCATTAAGAAACTGGGGGGCTGTGGTGTGGACACCCACACAGTCAAATGGGTCGCCAACTGGCTGGAGGGCCGCACCCAGAGGGTGGTAGTGGATGGGTCCTTCTCAACCTGGAAGGACGTGGGCAGTGGGGTTCCGCAGGGCTCGGTCCTCGGGCCCGCGCTGTTCAACATCTTCATCAGTGATTTGGACGAGGGGGTAAAAAGCACCCTGTTCAAATTTGCTGATGACACTAAGATGTGGGGGGATGTGGGCACACTAGAAGGAAGGAACAGGCTACAATCTGACCTAGACAGGTTACAAGGGTGGGCGGATGAGAATAGGATGGGTTTCAACACTAACAAGTGCAAGGTGATGCACCTGGGGAGGAACAACCGGCACCATACCTACAGGTTGGGGAACTCCC